GCACCAAGTTGACTTGAGAGTCCCTCTTCTTCTTGGGTGCCTTTCAATCCGCGGATTTGTGTCCGTTTTTATTGCAATTGAAGCATTTTCCGTTGAACTTTGTCTTGGAAACGCCTCCCTTGGGACCGAGCTTGCTCTTCCCATTATTTTTATTTTTGGAGCCTTTAGCATGCTCCACCACGTTAGCCTTGGCGCTGGTAACGATTGGGAGTTTCCCATCGTTCTTCCGGTTATCCTCTTCAATCCGCAGACGGAGGATCAATTGCTCCAAGTTCATTTCCTTTTGCTTATGCTTAAGGTAGTTCTTGAAATCCTTCCAAGCCGGTTACAATAAATGGATAATTGACGCCACTTGGAAAGACTCACTAACTGTCATTCCTTCATCTTGAAATTTATTGAAGATCATTTGCATCTCCTCAACTTGACTCAAGACCGTCTTCGAATCCACCATTTTAAAATCAAGGAATCGACCAACAACAAATTTCTTTGCGCCGGCATCCTCGCTTTTATATTTGTGGTCCAAAGCATTCCATAGCTCCTTAGTCGTAGCTAATTTGCTATACACGTCGGACAAAGCATCATGCAGCCCGTTCAACACATAATTTCGGCAAAGGAAGTCAGAATGCTTCCATGCTTCAACCGCGTTGAAAGATTGCGCATCCACCTCACCCTCGGTTGCTACCGGCGCATCTTCGGTCAAGAACCTTGCAAGACCGAGAGTAGTGAGATAGAATAACATCTTTTGTTGCCACCTCTTGAAGTTTAACCCATTAAATTTTTCGGGTTTCTCCACAGAGTTTCTTGGCACGGTAACCATAGGGATTGCCCCTTGGTTGCCCAAAGTAGATGCACCGCGTTGTGAACCATTGTTCACCGGTGCTCCACTTTCAGAGTTAGTGTCGTTTGGCACATTTTGCCCACCAAATTTTTGAATTTCTTGAGAAGCCATTTTAACGTTTTCAACGTTTTCCAAAAACACAAAAAATAAGTTCGTTCACCAAACTGACAAACTACGATTTAAGATTGTATCCGTGTGATACAAGCTTCGAAAAATGTTTTAAGATTATTTACCACAGTAACACAATCACGAACAAGCTTCGAAAAAGTGTTGGGTGTGTCTCGGAAAAATGAAGAAATATTAATTAACAAAAATAATTAATTAATTTAAATAGCTAAAGAAAAACAGAAATAAGATGGAACAGAGTTTAGCCAGAGCTCATGCTACACACGATGTTCTTAAAACGTATTCATCGCCTCCCACGGTGCTAGGAGCGTTGCAACGATCGTTTCCTAGGATACGATGGCTAACGAACTAACGTTTGAGCACACAAACGAGAGTTCCGGCGAAAGGGAACAAAGGAGAACACTCAAGAAATTTCGGAGTAGCTGGAAGTATTTTTAGAGCTAAAACTACGTGCAGATTGCTAGTGAACGTGTAAGAACGTGTGTTTGTTGCAAACCACCTACCAGCTATTTATAGAAGAATTTGTGGTGTGTTAAATGGGGTGTTAATGGACCTGAACGTTGGACATCAATGACCAGTCCGTTGGATATTGAATCATCCATAAACTGTTCATTTAACGCAGCATTAAAAGACAAGAACGTTGGACATTTATTGCTGTAACGGACTAGAAGACCCCAACAGAACACCTTGAGGTGTTCTGTCCGGAAGCCAGCAGAGGACCTCAAGGCTTTCTGTCCGGAAGCCAACAGAGAACCTTCGAGGTCTTCTGTCCGGAAGCCAACAGAGAACCTCTCTGGTATTCTGGCACGGAGAGAATACCTCATGCCCTTCTGTCGCGAACAGAAGCGGAGCGGTTTGTTGGAAAAAATTAAGGAACGTTACGGGAAGAAAAAAAAAATCGTATCTTTGAATGATAGATTTTTCCGATGGCAATCGTGTCCGCAAGTCGCCCGCGCACACGAGTCGCAGTTTTTCTTCTCCGTTTCGGGATTTGATCAGCACCCCCCCTGCGCGCGAGAGAGAGCCTCTACCTTAAGGAATTTTAACTCCTTAAAAGAGGCTTCCCTTTATAAGGGGGTAAAATTCCTTTGAGTTTTCCGGTGGGGTATAAAACACACTACAAACCCATCTTTTCCCAGTTTTTGCATTTCAACGAGTGAACTTCGAGAATCAATTTCTCATTCACCCGTTATCCGTTTTGAGTGTACCACATATCGAATTGTAGCCCTTAACAAGGAAAATCCGAAACCACGTTGACCCGACCCAAATCGGAAGTGCACCCCACTCAAATAATTGCCCCAACATGACCATTTAATGCAATTTTTAACACATTTTTCCAACAATCCCCCACATGAATGAAAATTGATTTTTGAGACTTAAAAAGACTCGAAGATAGGAGGACATGTTGTGTTCACCGAATGATCCTTGCATACAGAGAGGTAGGTTTTATCCTTTGAACCTTCCGCTGTAAAGACACGTTTATTTACAGGCTGTCTAGTTGACTCGATGTCCTTGAACTATACTGCTGTCGTGTAAACATTGGCTTATCTTTACACAAGAACCTTCCAACTTTGTTCCGTTCTCATGGGTGTGCCCATTTTGGCCATGGGTCACCGTCCTGGTTCTGCAAGAGTTTCTAAAGAACTGAGCCTTTACAGTTCTCTTTTGAAGCGGCTATCTTCTCTGTCACATAGGTGATTCTTTCATGAGTATCCTGCATACTCTTCCAATGTTATCGAGTAGATCAACATTTTAGAATCATTAAAGCAAACGTTTTTGCTAACCTCGTGCGGGATTCACTGTTTTAACGAGGAGTGGGTAGGAGTCCGGGACCCCCACAGTGACCATCCTTCGCTCTATAATTTAGTTGTCCCTTTTGAACCTAGGACCAACTAGGTTGGGTATCCACTATAGAACTTTTCAATTCACGGGCTTTAGTCCCATTCCTTGTGACAACTTCTCCAACAATTCTCTATCTAATGCCTTCGTTAGCGGATCCGCTATGTTATCCTTTGACTTCACATAGTCAACAGTGATAACACCCGTTGTGAGGAGTTATTTAATGGTGTTATGTCTACGACGAACGTGTCTAGACTTACCATTGTACATATTGCTCTGTACCCTTCCGATTACCGCTTGACAATCGCAATGTATGCATATTGGAGGGACAGGCTTTTCCCAGCTTGGAATATCCTCGAGAAAATGGCGTAGTCATTCAGCCTCTTCAGTGCACTTATCCAAGGCTATTAGCTCAGACTCCATCGTGGATCTAGCTATTAACGTTTGTTTTGAGGATTTCCATGACACGGCTGCACCTCCCGAAGTGAAAACATATCCACTTGTGGACTTTGAGTCCTTAATGTCGGATATCCAACTAGCGTTGCTATACCCTTCAAGTACAGTTGGATATCTTCCATAGTGCAGTCCAAGCTTTTGGGTTTTATGTAAATACCTCAAAACCCTTACTATTGCCTTCCAGTGTTCATCACTGGGGTTACTAGTATATCTACTCAACTTGCTAACCACAAAGGCAATATCAGGCCTGGTACAACTCATTAGATACATCAAGCTTCCAATAATCCTAGCGTATTCTACTTGAGAAATACACTCTCCACAATTTTTGGTAAGTTGTACGTTTTTATCTAATGGAGAGAGCCTCTACCTTAAGGAATCTTAACTCCTTAAAAGAGGCTTCCCTTTATAAGGGGGTGAAAATCCCTTGAGTTTTTCGGTGTGGTATAAAACACACTAGAAACCCATCTTTTCCTAGTTTTTCCATTTCAACGAGTGAACTTCGAGAATCAATTTCTCATTCACCCGTTATCCGTTTTGAGTGTACCACATATCGAATTGTAGCCCTTAACAAGGAAAATTCGAAACCACTTTGACCCGACCCAAATCGGAAGTGGACCCCACTCAAATAATTGCCCCAAAATGACCATATAATGCAAGTTTTAACACATTAATCCAACAGATATGTGTTTCCTTTTCTAGTTAATCACTTCCACATTGCGTGAAAATGGTATTATCGTGGCTCAAGAAGAAATTGGGAATAATCCTGCATACTTTACAAATACTCTTATATTTTACAAATTACAATGACCTCCTTATAAGCCCAACCAATTATAATGAAAAAATGGTGAAACATAATTTGAAATCATAAAAGTTATAATAGTCCCCCTTTTAGAATGCTTCAATCTAGCGGGAGCCATTTGAGATGTCCTAATGTATTTTAATATATATTAAATATACAATGGTGGAGTCAAGGCCCTAGGTCAAACTGGGGGCCCAAGTCCCCAACTATGTCCCTGGTTGATCACTTGTTTTATTAATAAATTATTTATCTTTTAATGTAATTTCATATTATTGTGACATTTTTCACATATTTTTGCCAAACAGTCTACTTCATCCTGCTACCTGTTCAGATCCGGCACTTCACAATTTATATTAGCTTCAAATAATAATCTTTAATTAAACATTACAATGAGAAAAATCATATTGCAACTTCAGATCCCAACTTTCTTAACTTTCTTATTTTTATAGCAATATTAGTTGAGGAGTAAAAATAGTATTTCCACACCGATTTAACACACTCTGTTTCAACATAGAAGATTATTCCATGTTTGCCCCAATTAATAAAATGTAAGGACCAATGCTAGATATAATTAGATAACTTGTAATAATATATAAAGTCACTATTTATTTACAAAGATCGTTAAGATGTATATCATATATATTTAGTCAGGGGCGGACCCAGGAAATTCACATTGGGGGGGCCGTAATTTAAAGAAAAAAAATCTAGTTGCTCATTATTATAAGTTATAACATTTATACAATAGTAATAAAATGAAGCATTAAAATAGTACACAATAGGCAAAAAATAGAAGAAGAGACAAATATATTATTACAATCTGTTGTTGCTGTCGATACCGGTAGAGTCAACAAAAGTCGGATCAATCTATCAATAAGAAAGTAAACTTTTGACATCTCTGTCTCCGCTAATCCTTGACAAAGTTCAGCCATTGTAGACAAATTCGCCAACTTTGGATGGTTTAGAACATTGAGCTTATAATGTTGCAATTGAAACCTCAAGCCCACCTTCTCCTGCTCAATAAAATCAAAGGGGTAGTATTTATCCACTAAAGAACAGATATCATCAACGTTAAAGGACTTATATGAGTCCTTAGGATCCAAAGCACAGCTAAGAGTAAGAAGATCCATTATCTGTTCATTGAATCTGCTATTCAGCTCTAACAATTATGAATCTATGGCTGCGTAAAACATATCAACCCGATAGTGACGTTCAATATCAAACCCTTCTTGATCATGGCGTTTGCGTTTTACCACATAAGGAGACTTCATATTAGGAACTTCAATCTCATGCTTTTGGCAAAACACTTTAACAATTTCTAAGAAGTTATCCCATCCACCTTCCCTTAACTTTTGGATCAACATTTTGGTGCTTGACACCAAATGCATAGCATTTATTATGTCTTGGGACTTCTTTTGTAGATGCTGACATAGAAGATCTGTAATACTCATAATTTCTTTAATAAGATGCAACAAGAAAACAAAATCAAAAGATTTAATCTTCTTAAGTGCTCCAGCTGCATCTCCACGAGTAGAATAGTTATTGCCATTCTCTTCAACATCTTCTAAAACAGAACAAGTTGCAGCAAACATCCTAATCAAACTGCAAACAGAACTGAAATGCGAGCTCCATCGAGTTTCCCCAGCTCGTTGTAACGTATCAACCTGATTAAGTCCTCTGCGTGTTTCAAGCTCACCAATTTCCAACATTCTTGCAATTTCAAGTGCTTGAGCTTCCTTTAATTCATCATTTCGTTTGCAAGAAGAACTAGTCACATTAATAATAAAGACTAAATCGGTGAAAAAATTATGCACATATTTCACCTCTCTAGAAGCAGCAACCAATGCTAATTGCAACCGATGTGCTAAGCAATGAACATAGTATGCATAAGGACAATCATTTAAAAATAATGCTTTCAACCCATTCCACTCTCCCCGCATATTGCTAGCACCATCGTATCCCTGACCACGAATGTTCTGTATATCAAGACAAAATCTAGAAAGAACTGCACAAATTTCTTTTTTGAGAGTCATTGCTGCGGTATCTCTAACATGCACAACATCAAAGAAATGCTCTCTAATGAACCCCTTTTCATCAACAAATATCAAAATAATAGCCATTTGCTCTCTCTTAGATTCATCACGTGCCTCGTCAACAATGATGCAAAACTTAGAATCACCAATATCATGTCGAATCCTATGTCGCACTTTAGTAGCAAGAATGTGTAAGATCTCCTTTTGAATTTTGGGAGAAGTATACATAGCATTTTTTGGAGCATTATCTAAGACAACACTAGCAACTTGTTCATTATATGATGCTAAAAGTGAAATCATTTCAAGAAAATTACCTCGATTTCTAGAACTAGAGGATTCATCATGACCTCGTAGAGCACATCCTTGTGAAGCCAACCACCGAACAACATCAATAGAGGTCATAACCCGTAAGCGGTTACCTTCCTTCATCTCTAGAGTTTGTGCTTCAATGACTTTGTCAATATGGAGAGATTGATTCAATAAGTCTTGACAACTTTTCCAACAATTATTGTGTGGAGAACATGGATCTTGGCCCACATGATTCAGGAAAGCACATCTAGCCCCGTTATTAACTTTTTTCCAACTATTAAAACCTTTAATAGTGAAAGCATCGGTTCCATTACGAGTTATAGGTTTTGCAAAAAGGTAGCACGGAAAGCAATATGATGCATCTGTTGTGGGGGAATACTCCAACCAATGAAACTTTTGAAACCAAGAAAACTGAATTTATAAAATTTAGCACCTAATTTTTGTTTTGAAATTGCACTCTATTAGTTATTTAGTACTACAAAAAACAGATTGTATTCAATATTTCAAAAATGGGAAAACGAACATAAAGCAATGCAATCACGTGATGCAAAAATATAATATAGCAATTTGACTAATAGAGTGCAATTTCAAAACAAAAATTAGGTGCTAAATTTTATAAATTCACAATAAAATATAATTATTCAATTATGTTATATTTATAGTGCTATTCAATTCAATTACCCTAGTAGCGCATAAATGAGTTTAAACTTTAAACTTTAAACCCAACAGACATCCTTTGGTGATTAACAAACTTTGATTTGCTTTTGGTGATTTTCCATTTGTGATTTTGTGTTGTATAAATATTAAAGTTGGTACTTGAATGCTTTATTTTATAGGCTATTTTATACGGAGATTCATTTATGTGCCAATCTACGCGGTCTATCTACTCTAATTATAATTCTACGAATATTGCTTTTAATAAAGTGATGAACAAAAAATTGCTTAGTAACTTTTAGTGATTATATCTGTATTCAAAGTTTACCTCGAGCTCGTAACAATCCCATGTAGTCACTACGATGTAAATTTTGAACGCAATTGTAGTCACAAAAAGTTACGTAGTACTAAGTCCGCAATTTTTTTATTAGTAATTTTTAGAAAAAATCTCATATTTTAATCTCCTAATACTTATACATTTTTACATTTTTAGTTCTCTAAAATGACTCTACAATTATAGTTCTAATTGTTTCTTCTTACTAACATAATCTTGGTATTCTCCATTCATTTTATAATGGTTGGATATACGTACGGTAGTATTATACTATGTATATGTTAATAGTAGTATTATTATGTTAATAAAAGATTATAAAATTTTTAAAATCTGATAGCTTTAATACTTTTTGGTGTCAAGAATTTGGTGGAAGTACATTTAATTAACCTTTCTAACTAATTAATCAATACTAAAATTTTATAAAAAAAGGTTAATGACTCATTATTGAGTACTCCAACACTAATTAATTTCAAAAGTAGGTTTACTCAATATATGCAGGGCAAGGTATATTTACGACATGATGGAGCAGCTTTTTATCAATATGATGTTGTCGTCTCCGTCTTCTAACTTTTGTACTATCCAAAAAGCTTCTAAAAATTCTAGTTGTATGCGGTGGCGGAGTTGGAGTATACATTTTGGATGTTCAATCATATTTTATAACTAGACATTTAAAGAGTAATAAATAAATATAATAGAATTTACACAAATACGGAGTATGTATACCTACAATTTTTTTTTTAAAAAAATGGGTGTTCATGTGAACTAGTTTGAACAAGAGTGGCTCCGCCATTGGTGGTATGTTTGTAATGACAATTTTTAAGAGTTTTTCAAAAAACAAAAGATATTTTTGAGATGCTATAGGGAGTGCATCTCAGAAAAGTCTGTGGCTTTTAGTATCAATTAGTCCTAAGAGCTTGTATACGAAACGGAACTAAATCAAACAGTCAGTTTTTTACCAAACAACTATCACATGTTCCTTTTAACAATTACTAAAAAGCTCACAAAAGTATCTTTTCGACTACTTGTGGTAAACATACCCGTAAAGGCCATATATAACGACATGATTGCTCTTTCCTTAAATAATTTTGAGTGCCCTTTTTTTCAATTTTACCCTTTGTTTGGACGGGAGTTTTATCTGATATTTTGCTACTTTATACGAAGTATAAAATAAAAATAATTATGTATTCATCCGTTGGTAATTATTATGCTCATTATGGTACTCAAATCTATAATATGGTATGCCGCACTACGTCACATATGACATATTTTGTACTGCATTATATTGGACAACTTTAATAATAATAAATATTCAAGGCTTATTTAATACCAGCCATTATATATGTTAGTATTATCATATTAATATCATCCGTTGGTACTTGGTAGTATTAATATTCTTGTCCTAGATAGTTAGCATAATAGTGAGTCATACTTGTCAAATATATCTCACCTAATTAAATTCAATATAAGGCAGCTTTTGTTATAGCAATACGTCCAAAGCTTAGATTCATAATTTGTCAATTATGCCCTTTAAATGGGCGGGAATTTTACCTCAAAAAATTGTAGCAACTTTGCTAATTTATATTATATGAAGATAAAATAAAAATAATTATGTATTCATCCGTTGGTAATTATTATGCTCATTATGGTACTCAAATTTATAATATGGTATGCCGCACTACGTCACATATGACATATTTTGTACTGCATTATATTGGACAACTTTAATAATAATAAATATTCAAGGCTTATTTAATACCAGCCATTATATATGTTAGTATTATCATATTAATATCATCCGTTGGTACTTGATAGTATTAATATTCTTGTCCTAGATAGTTAGCATAATAGTGAGTCATACTTGTCAAATATATCTCACCTTATTAAATTCAATATAAGGCAGCTTTTGTTATAGCAGTACGTCCAAAGCTTAGATTCATAATTTGTCAATTATGCCCTTTAAATGGGCGGGAATTTTACCTCAAAAAATTGTAGCAACATTGCTAATTTATATTATATGAAGATAAAATAAAAATAATTATGTGTTCATCCGTTGGTAATTATTATGCTCATTATGGTACTCAAATTTATAATATGGTATGCCGCACTACGTCACATATGACATATTTTGTACTGCATTATATTGGACAACTTTAATAATAATAAATATTCAAGGCTTATTTAATACCAGCCATTATATATGTTAGTATTATCATATTAATATCATCCGTTGGTACTTGGTAGTATTAATATTCTTGTCCTAGATAGTTAGCATAATAGTGAGTCATACTTGTCAAATATACCTCACCTTATTAAATTCCATATAAGGCAGCTTTTGTTATAGCAGTACGTCCAAAGCTTAGATTCATAATTTGTCAATTATGCCCTTTAAATGGGCGGGAATTTTACCTCAAATAATTGTAGCAACTTTGCTAATTTATATTATATGAAGATAAAATAAAAATAATTATGTATTCATCCGTTGGTAATTATTATGCTCATTATGGTACTCAAATTTATAATATGGTATGCCGCACTGCGTCACATATGACATATTTTGTACTGCATTATATTGGACACCTTTAATAATAATAAATATTCAAGGCTTATTTAATACCAGCCATTAGATATGTTAGTATTATCATATTAATATCATCCGTTGGTACTTGGTAGTATTAATATTCTTGTCCTAGATAGTTAGCATAATAGTGAGTCATACTTGTCAAATATATCTCACCTTATTAAATTCAATATAAGGCAGCTTTTGTTATAGTAATACGTCCAAAGCTTAGATTCATAATTTGTCAATTATGCCCTTTAAATGGGCGGGAATTTTACCTCAAAAAATTGTAGTAACTTTGCTAATTTATATTATATAAAGATAAAATAAAAATAATTATGTATTTATCCGTTGGTAATTATTATGCTCATTATGGTACTCAAATTTATAATATGGTATGCCACACTACGTCACATATGACATATTTTGTATTGCATTATATTGGACAACCTTAATAATAATAAATATTCAAGGCTTATTTAATACCAGCCATTATATATATTAGTATTATCATATTAATATCATCCGTTGGTACTTGGTAGTATTAATATTCTTGTCCTAGATAGTTAGCATAATAGTGAGTCATACTTGTCAAATATATCTCACCTTATTAAATTCAATATAAGGCAGCTTTTGTTATAGCAGTACGTCCAAAGCTTAGATTCATAATTTGTCAATTATGCCCTTTAAATGGGCGGGAATTTTACCTCAAAAAATTGTAGCAACTTTTCTAATTTATATTATATAAAGATGAGATAATTTCAAATGTATAATCAAAATAACAATAATGTACAAAAATGTGGCAAGATAACTATTAGAAATTATATTTAAATTTAATGATAATGACTATGTTTAAATGTTACTCAGGGTCATTAAGAGTATCTGATGGAGTATATGGGTCCAGACCCCATGACACACATACTCAGAAGACTAAGAGAAAGCACAGCTGCCACTCAGTGGGTCCTCCGTCGGCCAGATGGCCCTCCATCGGCCGGATAAACATCAACTCAGAATATGGTCCAGAAATCAGGAGAACCAGGGTGCCTCCGTTGGCCAGACCTCCGTCGGCCACAGAGACCTCGAATAGTTAGATTTCATACTTAGCCAATTTACATACTTTGTATTCGGCCCAATAGTGGCCTCATTGTAAACGGGCCTCTCAAGCCCAAGACTTGGGAGCCCAGTCTATATTTTCCCTATAAATACTCCTATTGGGGGTAGTCGTAAGGGGTTGACACATACATTGATTGCAGAACTTATTGCACTTCTCTCTCTAGCTCTCCCTTCTCTCTAAGAGTTAATACTCTATCAGTATCATTTTTATGCATAGATTTTTTATTAATTATATTTTAGGAAAAACTCAAATAATATTACATACATAAATCAAATCGAGGCTGTGATCCGTTTTTAAGTCACAAATCCATCTAAATCACATAATTTAACCCTTATAAGGAAGAGATGAGAAGTGTGAAGTTTATTTTGGACCTACCCAAAAAGGAAAGTGTATAGTTTATTTAGGACCGGAGGGAGTAAATATTAATGTCCTTGTATGTCTTTTTAGGCTTGAACAACTATTTTTAAATAGCCAACTTACGAAACAAATGTTGACAACAAGTTAATATATCAACCAATCAAAACAGTTAAAACAACCAGCTATTGTCAAACCGCTATCATAATCAGCTAACCGTTAACAGCTAACAGCCGATTGCCAAACAAGGCCAATACA